TTGTATCCCTGATACCCATAATCATGCCTGGCATATAGGATAGAAACTAGAGCTCTGATTCCATTGGTATAAGACACTCTCGAATGAGGAAATTCCATCTGCCAAGGTAGGGTGTCATCTTCTCTGTAATATATAAACTTCATTACCTAGAACACTGAGAGATTAAGTTCCTTCCCCAGACCCACACACTTAGTATGTGTCAGAGAGTAGGACTTGAACCCAGGTCTTTCTAGCTTCTAAGAGGGCTCTCTATCCACTACATACTACCTTCTGCCTGGCACATAGTAGGTACTCAATAGATACTTGTTGAATGCTGAATTAAACTGAACTTAGCATTAGGACCACTATCCACCCCATCTTTTATTCATTCAATGTACCTGAGTTCTATCTCTTTTCAGGGGCTCCTAAGTAGTAAAGAAATCTCTTTTGTCTATACCTAGCAGCTCTTCGGCAGAGCTAGGAACAGACCCTGAGGCCTAGGTTAGGGGTCTTTCAACAATGTCACACTCAGGCTAGTGGAAGCAAGACCCATGCAATAAGGCCAACTTAAAGTTGACCCTACTCTATGATACAGAACCCACAATACTATAGGGCTTTGAGTAATAAAGTACTTTCTTCACAATAGCCCATCGAGGTAGAAAGGCAGAGATCATTATATCCATCTTATAGATGGGGAAAATGAGGTGAACAGAGTAGGAGGGGAAGGAGGAAGGGAGATATCTCACTTTCTCATGGATGCTAGAGTTGAGGCGCCTCAGAGTCTCCTGGAAGTTCCGGTTTTTGGGTTCAAGTGTAGCACAGCGCTGCACATCCTTGAAAGCCTGGTCCAGCTTACCCAACTGCTCCAGAGCCTGGCATCTTCGGAACAGGGCCTTGATGTCTGAAGCATTAATGTCAATGGCTAGCAAGAGAGACAAATGGAAAATGGCTTCAGGAGGTAGCTCTGAATTCTCTGTACCAGGTCCCACCTTCCTAACCCTAGAAATGCTGCTACTTATTTATCTCTTTGACTTTGGATTATCTCTGTCCACAGTCTGTTCAAGTAAGCAACTGAGTCTTCTTTGTACATGTGTGCCTCATTTCACAAAACCCAGTATTGAAAATCTGAGTTTTACAAAACTGGTACATCGAGATGTAATTACCAACATTACAAAAAGATTCAGGAGCTGACCACTGAATGATTATAATAACCAAGAAACTTGGCCCTGAAAAAGAACTGAGAAACCTCCCTCCTTTCTTTGCCATGGCAAATGAATGAGAGAATAAAGCTTTACTAAGTACTTTATGCAAACCACCATGCTAGGCACTGATGATATAAATAGAAAAGTAAGCCAGCCCTTACTCTCTAAAAGCTCACATTCTGGTGGAGGAGACACCACATGGCAGGGGACTATGTATATGAAATATGGCATACACTTTCAGACTTGGCTTATATATGGGTTGCTTTTGCTGAGCTGCTTCCGGCTGGGAAAGAGGGGGAGGAGGGATATATTCAGAAGGAAGAGAACATAAACAAAACAAAACAACAACAACAAAAAAAAACGCAGTTTAAAAAACTTTTAAAAATATTCACAGAGAAAGATTTCTTTAATAAGAAATTCCTGTGGTACGTCGAATTCACAAAAAGTTCTTTTCAACGTAACATCTCAGGAGCTACAATATAAATTGAGAAGTACACTCATCTCTTCCCATAGCACCTGGTATAAGCAATACACAAAGCGACAAGCATTTATTAAACACCTACTGTGTACTAGCTACCTCACTGGTACTGGGAATACAAAGATCAAAAGGAGACAGCCCTTGCCTTCAAAAAGTTAACGTTCTGCTAAAAGGATATAACATGTCTACAGAAAAACAAAAACCTAAAATTAAAAAAAAATTTTAAAAACCAAATATAAACAAAGTAAATAAAAAAGTGAATGGGGGTGGCGTTAAACAGGGGAATCATAAAGTCTTTTGAGGCAGTTGGCTCTTGAGTTAATAAGTAGAGAACATTCTAGGCACAGGCAAAGCCTTGGAGGTAGGAAATGGAACATCACGAAAGGGGGACAGCAGGTAGGACAGTTTGGCTGAAACTGTGTAGAATGTGTGGGGGGAGTAAATGTATAATTAGCCTAAAATGGGTGACTAAAGACAGATTTTAAAGGACTTTAAATGCCAAAGAGAGGATGAAGTTGAAAGCATTTACCAAAGGTATGTGAGGAATGCAGAGGGTGCCCTATCAATGGTCCTAACTGGTTCTTATAAATCTTTATAAATAAAGGTACTAAGAAGCACCTTGGGACAAAGAATGAGGGCATGGAGCTGAGGTCAGGGGGAAGGAGGCCACTCACCTTTGGATGCATCTGATGCTGCTTGAGTGTAGCTCTCCTGGAAATCAGAAAGACGGAAAAACTCATCAGTAAGGATTTCATAGAGAGACGAGGGAATTGGACTTGGGCTCTCAGGGCTTCCTGGTCCAACATTCTAAATTTTAGCTACCTGAGAGTTGCCCCCTCGGGAAGGGGAGGAGGGAGGCTCCCACTGAAAGGAGATGCGAAGGGGTTGAACCCTTGGAAATCAGTTCTGGAAAGCTTCCTCACCATCCCAATTTTGTGTGATCAACTTCCATCAAGGCAAGTTAGAATTAATTTGAGCTTGATGCTTCTTGGCCTCATCAGCAAAGGTCAAAGAGCACAGAACTCTGAGCCTTGGTTTAAATATAGCCCTGTACCCCTAAATCAGGTCTCCCCCCTCAAAAATAAAATCCAACACTGCTCTCTTTGCAAGGGAGAAAGTGATAGGTTCCTTCCTCCATCTTGGAGTCGAAGTTGGCCGACCTAGGAGCGCCAGGATGAAGGAGACCCCAAGGAGGCAAGGCACCAGACAGCCCAGACTCTTCCAACGGTCCCATAGGCTCCCCATCTCACACACAGGCCCTCCCCCTCCCTGCAGCTGGCCCCCTGACCGTTTTCAGCCCACAGGCTGCTCTGTTGCGGTACAGAGTGGCCAGCAAAGCTTTGTCCTTGGTCTGTGTCAGAGCCTGGCTGTAGCTTCTGGAGGCTTCTTCATAATTCTGGTTTTGAAAATATTTATTCCCCTCCTCCTTCAGCCGCACAGCATCTTCCATCCGCTGGGGAGGAGAAGAATGAAGAGTAAGATCAAAACATTTAGACAGCTCTTTCAGATCTGAAAGCACTTTACAAACATTATCTCATTTGATCCTCACAACTGTGAGGTAGGTGCTATTATTATCCCTACTTTACAGATGAGGAAACTGAGGCAGAGAAAGCAGAAGTGACTTCTCCAGAGTCACACAGCTAGTGAGTGTCTGAGGCAGGATTCAAACAGGTCTTCGGGATTCCAAATGTGGCCCCCTATCCATTGTTTGGGGAGGGAAGAATCAACCCCACATTTTCCAAATCAGCTTTACTCTGAATCAGTGCTGCCTTAACATTTGTGTCAATGAGGCTGGACCCATTACCTAACACCAGGGAAGAGATCTTTCCTACCCTAAGGAGTATTAGCTCAGGGTAAAGTCCCCAGAGGCTTCCAAAACTCACAGAAGAAGAGTGGGTACTTCCCTGGGAGACCATCTGGTGTTGCAGGTGGGGTCTGAAGACTTGGGTTCAAATCCCAGTTCTGTTATTTACTCCCTGCATGACCCTCACTCTCTGGGAGATTGGATTGGGTGGCCCCCTAAGGTCCCCACCATCTCTACATCTCTGATACCAACTAGCCAAGGGTAAAACAATACTTTCCAACAAAGCAAAACATTTCAATTTAAGGTATAAGAGGAAAGCTGCAGTGTTCAGCCCTGCCCCCCCCATCACTTAACCCTTTTCCTTCATCCCACCCCAAGACCTGGGCAGGGATTTTTCTTTTTCTTTTTCTTTTTCATTTTTTTTAGGGATTTTTCATAGATACAAATACTAATTTATTTCATAAGACTTAATAAAGCTTCATGATCCCCTCTTCTCCCTCCTTCAGTGCAAGCCCACCTCCCATCCCCTACCCAACCCCCCCAGCAAACACCACTAACTTTGTCTGAAGTAGACATGGTCAATGATACCTCCCCCGGGGAAACTTCTCTCCTTTGTCCAGCGCAGACTGCATGCAACCCTGAAGCCAGCCTGCCTCGATCTGCTCTTCCCAACCCCCCACCCAGGAGACTTTATCTCTACAACCAGTGGCTCCCAACCATATTTGGTCTGTGGGTCAGGTGTCCCTGGGGCCTGTCACTGACACTTATGGACCTTCCCTCCCCCCTCTCCAAATAGGGAATCTGTAAGAAAACACTGCATTCCCCCTCCCCAATTCTCCCAGTTTAGGGACTATTTCAGATAGCAGATGGATGGGGAGAGGTGTGTACCACAATAAGAACCCCACAAAAGTGAGAATAACTCCCATTGAGCCCATTCCAAATCCATAGTCCTGTCCTCCCCCTTCTCCTCCTCCTCCCCACCCCACACCCCCCCACCACACACAGACACTCATGGCTGCTATTTTCAGAGATAAGTGACAGCTGAGGTAGATTTTAGACAGACATGAGACAAGGATGGCAGCTGCCCAGAGCAAGAACCAACTGGTAACTTCTAGAAATGCTTTGGGAAGGCAGGATGAGAGAGGAAGAAAAAGTCCTTCAGCCCTTCCCCCAGCCCATCTCCCTTCCCCAAAACGTTCCACCCTTTCAGGACAGAATGTAAATATGGCATCCTTTGTTTTAAAGGTTTTGGTCTGTTTCAATGGCCCTCAATCTTTTCAAGTTCAAATCCTTTCTCAGTCATTTCTTAGGTCTATGACCTCAAGGAAGTCATTCTACCCCCTCAGCCTCAGTTTTTGTTGTTGTTGTTCAGTCTGACTCTTCCTGACCCCATTTGGTGTTTTCTTGGCAAAGATACCGGAGCAGTTGGCCATTTCCTTCTCTAACTCATTTGACAGATGAGGGAACCAAGGCAAAAAGGGTTAAGTGACTTGCCCAGGGTCACACAGCTAGTAAGTATCTAATGCCACATTTGAACTCAGGAAGATGAGTCTTCCTGACTCCAGGCCCAGCACTCTATCCACTGCACCACCTAGCTCAGTTTACTCATCTGCAAACTTTGAGAGTCAAACTTGATAGTTTCTTACATCTCTCCCAGTTCTAAATCTATAATCCAATGATCTGATGTATGATGATCTTTTTAAAGTATACATTAAAATTTTATCATAGTGTTCTACAAGTGAGGTAAGACTAGGTAACTTCTAAAGTGTCTTGCTGCTACAAATTTATGATTCAAGTCCCATTTTTTTAAGCTTACTGTCTGAGTGATAAGTGCCTCTGTTTCCCCATTTATAAAATAAAAGGATTGGATTAGGTTGCCTTTGAGGTCCGTTCATTCTCTAGATCTATGATCCAATAGAAAATACAGAACAAAGAGCTACTAGAAATTAAACTATCCTTTTAGATGAATTTCTATTTTGTTGGTCCCATCAGCATTTTCACATATTTGAAAAAATAATACTACACATATATGTATGATACGTTTATTCAGTCTACAGGAGCAATCGTTGCTTCCTTATAAGACTGCATATATATTTATGGACCCCTTGGTGGTCCTGGGCTCACTGGTTAAGAACAAGGAACTAATATAGTAGAAAGAGGACTGGAGTTATACTCAGATGATCCAAGTTCAAATCCCCATCCTGCCAAATGTGTAACCCTACACAAGTCACTTAATCTTCCTGGGCCTCAGTTTCCTCATCTGTAAAATGAAAGGATGGGCCAGATGACACTAAATCTATGTTCCTAAAAAAGTGACAAAAACAATCATATTTACCCATCAATCCCATTGCTGAATATTTACCCCAAAAAGTCAAGGACAAAAATAAAGGTCTCATATACACTAAAATCTGTATGGCGACCCTTCCTCTGTCTCCTTGAGGGCAGAGATTGTTTCATGTTTTGTCTTTGCACCCCCAGCAGTTAGCACAGTGCCTAGCATATGGTAGATACTTAATAAATACTTGATGATGTCACACCAGTGGTATGACCCTGGGTAAGTCACTTAAGTTCTAGCTTCCATTTATTCACCTGTAAAATAGGGATAATAACAGCAACTATCTCCCAGAGTTGTTGTGAAGATAAAATAACATTTGTAAAGAGTTTTGCAAATCTTACAATGTAATATAAATGTTACCTATTATTATTGATTGATTGGTGGGGGTAACAAAGACCTGGAAGCAAAGTTGGGACCCATCAATTGAGGAAAGACTAAACAAATTGGGTGCATGAATGTGATGGACTACTGAGTCACAAGAAGAAACAATGAATATGAAGAATTCAGAGAAACATGGGGACACTAATGTGACCTGCTCTTTGCTACCAAAAAAAAATAAAAGGCCATCTAATCAATCCCCCTCCCCTAGTTTTACATATGAGGAAACTGAAGTACAAGAAGGTGGGTGTGCCCAGGATCATACATGTAGTGAGCCTCCAAGATTATACTTGAACCCAGATCTTCTGACTCTCAGGCCATTTATTCCAACCCTCTTATTTTACACACGAGGAAACAGGCTGGGGAAAGTTAAGTTACTTGTCAGAGGTCACATAAGTAGAAAGCATCAGAGGTAAGATACGAATTCAGGTCCTCTAACTTCAGAGCCTGAGTTCCTCCTACCGGGTCACACTACCTCCCATTCTCTTCCTGCCTCTTCTCTCATTACCTTTGAATGTAATAAGCTCCTTTTGAGTAAGGATTGTTTCTTTTTGCCTTTGTGTTCCCAGCATGCCCCAGAGTCTCTGGCACATTGTAGGTACTTAATCAATGCTTGTTGACTGACTGGTTGATCATTACTCTTGGGCCACTGTTAGAAGTCCACATCCTCTTTTCTGATAGAAGAGTAAGATAGGTAAGATGCCTGAAGGTAAGATGCCTGAATAGAGTGGTAGCAGCGGTGGGAGGGAAGGAGAGATGCATCTGAGAGACACCCTGGAGGAGGCTCAACTGGGTCTGACATTTAAAGCTGGAATCACCAGGGAATCCAGCTAGTCTAACCTCCTCTGTTACAGACGAGGAAGCAGAGGCCCAGAGAGGTCAAGCTATATATCCAATGTCACATAGGTAGTAAGGAATAGAAATGGCATTTGAACTCAGGTCCTCTGACTCCAAATCAGATGCATTTAACCTAACACTGTGGCAGATTGTGTCAGTCTTGGCAACTGTTTTGAAGACTGCTATTCATCCCTGATCTCATTAAGATTATGATAATAAAAACTTCTGATAGGAATCTTCATATGGGAACCTGTGTTTGCAGGTCAGTGTGCCACAGGGAGCTGGTGGGTCACTTCGAGATCTGCAAAACACTTTATATACGTGGTCTCATTTGATGCCCACAGCAATCCTGTAAGGTAAGTGTTACAGGTGTCATTATCCTCATTTCACAAATGAGGAAACTGGCTGAGCAACTGGCCCAGGGGCTCAGAGCTGGCAAGCAACTAAATCTAAGACTTCATGTTGCCAAATCCTTTCTATCCACTAATCCACACAGTGTCTCTGATATTCCCGAGAAAGATCACATAATAGCTTGCATTTACGTAGCGATTTAAGGTTTGCAAAGCACTTTAGAAATATTATCTCACTTGATCTTCACAATAACCCTGGGGGTGGGAGGAGGGAGGGAGGATCAGTGCTATTATTATCCCCATTTTACAGATGAAGAAAACAGGCTGGGAAAGGTTATTATTATTATTAACAATAATAATAACCAACATTTATATAGTGATTACTATGTGTGCTAAGCACTTTATAATTATTAGCTCATTTGACCCTCCCAACAACCTTGGAAGAGAGATGCTATGATTATTGCCATTTTATACTTGAAGAAACTGAGAAACGTGGTTCAGTCACTCTTTGGTAGGGTTAGGGGTTTAGTTCAAGCGCAGCCGCAACTCACTGCTCCCCTAGAAACATACCATGCGGAGTTCGGTCCTCTCTTAATAAACAAAACTTAAACTGAAGTGAGCAAAGGGATGTTTATTTATTTATGGTTTTTGCAAGAGGTGGGTGTGTGATACCCCCCCCCCCAAAAAAGAAGGGACATACATACACACACACACACACACACACACACACACACACACACACACACACACACGCACTGACAGACGCCCGAGCAAGCCTTTTATGCAGTCAGTTCCTTCTTGTCCCTCCCTTCAGAGCCGGGATTGGTCCTTGCTCTTCTGGGTTACAACCTTTCTGATACTCTCACTTCATAATACTTTCCTCCTCCTGCTAACATATGAAATGTTCCTAATTCTGTGTTATTGCTCCCTTCTGGGAGGAGAAGTTAGTATTAATGAGCCTATTACCATTCGAACTCTAAGTAAAGCTTATCTTTGTCCTACTTCCAGCCTCTTTAACCAAACAACCAATTTCATCCACTTTTACCTGGTTCTAGAACCTCTGACCTAGAGCTACCTTTTCTCCCAATTTCCTTATATGGAAATATAATGGCTTCTTACCTCTCACAAAACTGAGGCAAACAGAGGTTTTGGTTTGTTTTTTTTTTTTACTTGCCCAGGGTCACACAGCTAGGTGGTACAGTGGGTAGAGCTCCAGGCCTGTAGTCAGGAAGTCCTAAATTCAAATTCCACCTCAGACACTTACTAGCTGTATGACCCTGGTCAAGTCACTTAACCCTATTTGCCTCAAGTTCCTCATCTGTCAAATGAGCTAGAGAAGGAAATGGCAAACCACTCCAGCATCTTTGCCAAGAAAGCCCCAAAAGTCCATGGGGTCACCCAGAGTCAGGCATGACTGAACAACAACAACAAGGTCACACAGCTAGGTAAGTGCCTGAGGCAGGATTTAAACTCAGGTCTTCCTCAATCCAAGACTAATGTTCTAACCCCTGTGCCACTTAGCTGCTCTGAATCCTCTGATCCTAGAATTCAGTCCATTATAGCCAACATACTGCGGTGGTGCCCTGTTGACAAGGTTCTGGGGGAAGATATAAAGACCGTCTGCCGTTTTGTGTACTCCATCACTTAGTGACCCATGTTGCTTTTGCAAATTCTCA